ACGTGCAAATTGATACAATTAAGAAGCATTTCATTGCTATACCGCGTGACCTAAAGTCACGCACTCATATGACCGAGCTAAGTACACCTATAGTATCTCATCCCAAAGAGGCTTCATTGGAAACGGTATCAGCAAATAATATCTCTCGAGAAACTAAGATCTCATCCACACCTCAGGTAAGTATACAAACTCGTGATCGTGATTATTTTCGTAATAAAATATTAGGTCGATACCCAGATATATATAGAGAATTTAGTAGTGAAAAATTTGATTATTATGGAATTATTGATAAGTCGTCGTTATGTCCAGCATGTAAATTAAGTCATAAGGATGAGAAAAGTATAAGAGGTAGATATGAAGCTGGGTTTTATTTTATTAAATGTGGGCAACAAGAGATTGAAATAACTGCGTAAGTAAATAATTACATAAATCTGGTCAAGTGGATAGCGATATTTTTTTCTCTGCGGAGCAGGACACTCCATGTCTGGCAGTTACGTGATTTTGAATTGAGTTGCATTAATATAAAACGATACCATGTCTTCTGATACTACCTCCAGCAAGATATTAACTGATGACTATTGCAAATGGCATGCTAATTTAGTTGATTTACCAAGTTTTCAGACAGAAAAAATTCGTTCTAGATTATATAGAGCATACACGGAAGAGACTGGACTCGATCCTTGGATAAAGTCTGAAGCTTCTAAATCCTCACAAAGTGAAAATGCTGATAATCATATCATAGAAGACAGTTAGTTGGAAACTCAGGTAATGGCGCCAAACAAAAATCGCCTTTATCAGTATGCCATCGAACATGGAATAAATCCCAAAGAATTTTCAATCATTACAGAGGCTGAGAAAAATAGGTGGGCCATGGGGTGTTTTCGTGGGGATTTGGAAAGAGATATACGTTTCTATCGTGGTGGAATAGAAAGAAAAGAAGACCCTAGAAAATATCGTAAATTTTTAACAGATCGGGATGGGCTGGTCGGTGAAGAGTTATTACGTCAAGGTATACTAAAAAGTGGTTTGAGTACTGCATGGCTTGATGATCTTATGGAAGAATGGGAAAAAATCCATGCTCAATTCATACAAATTTTTAGCCAGGCATAGCCAGATCAGGGGGTCTTAATAACTGGTGCAAGTAGTAAATCGAAAAAACGAAAAATTCTATCGGTATGGGTATATGGTCGTCATGTAATTCGGGTGTCGCACCACGTGCGATTTCTTCTAGACATTCTGGAACTCTTCTATCACGCACAGGCTAAATGGTTTATTTTATTGCAGGGCAATGGCTCTTCGAGCCTACAGATGTCAATAAAGATATAATTTGTTATTTTTTATCTCGTGTCTTGCTTGAAAAATCGCTCGATCAGGCACGTGAGTGCCATTACTTCATAATACATATCACATACTATACCACAGAATAAAATCGAAGGTCATGGAACCTTTCATGCATGATGCAATCGTACGACCTGTTACTGTGACATGCTTGAAAATCGATTGCGTAACACGGATATTCGATCAACATATTAATATATATCACAGAATAAATTAGAAGGTCGGAACTTTTCATGCATGATGTAACCGTACAACTGTTACTTCCAAAATAAATCACTAACTCATGGCATACACATTTTCTTTGTGAAAAGTTTTTCACTGTGCATATTTACATAGTAAATACTCATGGGCTTGCATCGCTCTGGTTCCACATTCCCTGAATCTATTGCGTGACACTATTCCCATACCTAAATGAGACCAGAAATGAGCGGGGGGCGTTTTACAAGGAACAGTATATTTACGTTGTGGTCGTTCGTCGCTTCTTTTTACTTGTACTTTTGTTCTAACACACGTAAAAATGTCCACAGTATATGACACTATTTGCAATTTTCTTTGCATCGCATCTCCAGAGCATATTACAGCGTTTTCGGTGGTTTTTCATGTAATGAACGAAGAAGCATGGATCGCAAAAGAAACTTTAAGACAGCTATTACATCAATCGATTTCAGCAGTTTTACCTTTATATGCACCTGATTCGGACAAACACCGAAAGCTTCTTGGATTACCATTGAAGGTAATAGTTGAGTTTACTGCTAGAAAATAATTTCGATTATATGACGATTAGCGCAGAATAAAATTCTGGTAACTGAATCGAAGTCATATCCAATGTAAGCCCAGGGTTGTTCGTTATACGTATTGATCCTCAGACGCATGGGGGTATATTCGAGTCTCAGTTCAGAAGAATACAGTCATACCTCATTTGTATCCCCCCCCTATTGTATCCCAACCTCGACTATATCCCAGGTTTTCAGCTGGACAG